TTTTTTTTTTTTTTTTGGTACCGGGGATCAAACTCAGGACCTTGCTCTTGCAAGGCAGGCGGCGGAACCACTGAGCTAAATCCCCAGCCCAAGGTTTAGGCTGTCTAAGGCAGAGTCAGGAGGCTGCAGAGCATTGAACTCACACCTGCTAAAGGAATGTTCCATTAGACTTAGATAAACAACTAAAGTCAGTATGCATTAGCCGTCTCTTATCTGGGAGCACCCAAAATAACCAATCAGAATGGGTCTGCAATTTAGGATTTCTGTCCATATGAAAGTCCTCTATAGAAACATGCACTATGGCTGGCTTAACAGACACTATGCAGGGCTGCCCCATTTCATTGTAGTACAAATTCCAATTCTTTGCCAAATCAATGCTATTTCATTTGACTTCCAGATCAATTTTTTTAAGTTAATAGTAATTTAAGACACATTCCTGAACGCAAATTCAAAATCCAAAATCACAACTGAAAGGACTCATAGACACTGATTATCAAATCCTCTATGTACTTCATGAACATTACAACATCCTCAAACAAGGAGACTCTTGACATAGTACAACAGCTTATTCCATTTGTGTGCAGCTCTAATTGTTTAGAGCTTAAGAAACCCCTAAGAAAAGTTAGAAGCAAAGTGAAATGGACATCAGTAAGGCAAGACACAGGGAGAAGAGGCTGATGAATACATTTGGCCTTAGGGTACAATCAGGAGAAACATAAATATAGTGAGAAAGGAACAAGTGACTGGGTAAGAAGAGGAAGTGTCGGACACATGAGTGCATTTTACAGGACAGTGATGATGATGATGATGATGATGATGATGTTTGTCATAGTTCCTTGAGAGCCATTTATGTGTCAGGTACAACCAGATACTTATGTGTTATTATGTTAATTTTCTTAACAGCTTTAAGTAATCTCTTTTTAAAATTTGTATAACTTTGGGCCAGGGATTTAGCTCAGTGGTTCTGCTGCCTGCCTTGCAAATGCAAGGAGTTTGATCCCTGGTACCCACCCCCCAAATTTCTATAACCTATAGATACGAACACTTGCTCAAGGAAATAAAATACATCAACTAAATGGTGATGAAGGTAAGACTTGAACTTCATGCGGGTTCCTAATATTTAAGTTTTATCCTTATCCGATTAAAGCAAGAATGTGCTGGAGAAAGATGGGTGATTAAAGTAGGCTTGAAATATTCCCATATGTAGACTGGATGCGTCTGTTGATAGACAATTATGTTTCTTAGCATGGCCTCAAAATATATTTACTTTTAAGGAATGTATTTGGTGGCTGTGTGCAACATTTAGGGAATGTATTTGGAGGTTTTGTGACATAGATCCTGAAGATCCCATTCATAAAATGGTGAACTATGGGAGGATGACTGGGAATAGAAAAGGAGGAGCGGACACCATGAAGGAAGAATCAAAGTCACCCATAAACAAATGCTAAGAATAACTGAACCACACAACCTCTGAGGTTCATTCTAGCTTAGAGAATGCACACTACCTATAAATTTTGGGTTTTATCTATAGAATTGTATTATTTTAATGTGTGTGTGTGTACACAGTGTGTTTAGAAGGAAAGGGAAAGGCAAAGTTAAAAATATTTTAAAAATCACAGATGAGGAATTCATTTTTCATACATATTCAGCACATATTTACTGAATCCTCACAACCAATCTCCCACTTCTAGAGTCTCAGAAAGATTGAACAATGTGTATAAGGTCATGTAGTGACCTGCGGTGTTAGGATTAAAACTCACTCTCAGTGACTATAATTTTTTGTTCAATTTTCTGAAGTTCTCTCTTACACACACACACACACACACACGATTTCCCCATATCCTTAGCCATAAGTATGCAATAATGGAAAAAATTCACAGAAACAACCTAAAAACTTATTTTTATGTGTGAAAGTGTCAAAACAAGCATTTATATTTGATATTATTTTAAATGAAAACTCTGAGTGTATCTTGTGTCCAGGGTGAAATTTGAAAACAGTGTAAAATGTTTTATTCTTCCTAAATTAAGTTTACTAAGAGGATCAAAACTTTGTACTTGAACATAATGGCCACTCTAATACTTTAAATAAATAGCATTTTTATCAAGCACATGATGTATTCCACCCTGGCTTTCACCCATTTGACTACAGCCAAGAAGTTTAATGCACTCTATAGTCAGAATTCTATTAGATAACAAGGTTATCAACAGCTCCATTAAAAATGTGAACACTGTGAATATTTGAGAATTCCTCCTTAAGATCTTTTCTTTCACTCTTTTTGTAATGTTTCCACAGTGTTACAGATGTTCTCTATTCTTCAAGCTTTGTATCAAGTTGCCAATTGTTGTAATACATTTCAAATAGTGACATTTAAAACAAATATGCCCAAAGCAGCAAGGTTTCTTGATGAATTTCAATGCACTGCTTTTGGCTATGATCCTTCTTCTTTCTGGAACATTTTAAATTTCCTATGATAACGCTCCTTGGCTCCCTAAAGCATTTCTTTTGAATTATACCTCTGTACATTTAAGAAGTGATCCCACTGAGGAAAGGGTAGGAGGTGGGATAGGGAGGTGGGAAACTGTAAGACAGACTGAGTGCTTTGATTTACTATTTTTTTGGTTCCAGGGATCTAACCTGGGACCTTGCGCTTGTGAGGCAGGTGGCAGAACCACTGGACTAAATTCCAGGCCCTGATTCAGTAGTTTTAATTCTGTTCTGCAGCTTCAGAAAGGGTGCAAACTCCTAGCACATTCTAGTTGGCTGCCTCTCTGGATGCCATTTTCTGTCAAGGTCCCTAGTGACAGGTGTACAGGGAGCCGCATGGTCAAGGCTACAAAGGTTCATGGGAAGAATACCAGCAAGATCGCTGGTTCCTTTTTCTGCACATATGATATGCTGACATTTGCTAATACTTTTGACTTGAACTTTCAAAAATTTTGAGAAATAACACTTGAATATATT